TATAGATATATATATATATATGATCTAATATATATGATTATATATATATGATATATATATAGATATATATATATGATTATATATATATATATATGATATATATATATATATATATAATATATATTATTATATATATATATAATATATATATATATATATATATGATATATATATATGTATATATATATATGATATATATATATATATATATATATATATATATATATATATATATATATATATATATATATATATATATATATATATATATATATATATATATATATATATATATATATATATATATATATATATATATATATATATATATATATATATATATATATATATCATATATATATATATATCATATATCATATATCATATATATATATATATCATATATATATATCATATATATATATATATATATATATATATATCATATATATATATATATATATATATATATATCATATATATATATATATATATATCATATATATATATCATATATATATATATATATATATATATATATATCATATATATATATATATATATATATATATATATATATATATATATATATATATATATATATCATATATATATATATATATATATATATATATCATATATATATATATCATATATTATATATATATATATATATATATATATATATATATATATATATATATTATATATATTTGTTGGAGAGATTACTGTTGCTTGAACTAAGTTAAATGACACTGTACAACTACCTTCAACTATAAATGTTGTTTTTTTTCATAACTAATAATATAAAATGTATTTATTGCTTTATGGTTTGGTAATTGTATGCACATGTGCAGCAAAAAGAAATATTCAGAACTGCAGAAAATGTTATTCAGAAAATACAGAAAATGCATATCACACTGGGGATTCAAATGAATTCAGAGCGCATCAGTGAAAGGGCTAAAAATTGCTAATCATGTTGGAAAAAGAAAGAAAGAAAAAAAAAAAAAACATTTTAAGGAAACAGACTATTCATATACAGTGTTGAAGGAAAGATGATGATAAAAAAAATAATACAACTAGTTTACATCTAGATAAAAAGTGCTTTTACAGAAGGCAATTACCTAAAGAAAGCTTTGAGACCAAGATCAAGTAGGGTTACACTACTAGAGAATGAAAAACATAAAAGGAAACTAGCAAGGAAAAATACTGAGTTCATGGAAATTGAGAAACTAAAAGATCTATGGATATCCCCTTGACATAAGCTTTAAAGAAAGAAAAAACATGAAAGTCTGGTAAATTAACTAAAACAAAATATGAAAAATAATGGAATTGGAAATCAGTGGTACATCACTACTGGCAGACAAGGACACTTAGTACTATATAGCTTGCATGTTTGCACAATAGGAAGTGAGGAAACTCCCATCGCAGTAGCAGTAGAAAGCTCAGCTCCCCCAGACAGGGGGAATCGACAGTGTGCTAAGCAAAGATAGAACTTTATCAGCAAGCTATGATCTAGACACTCAAAAAATTAAAAATCAGATTCTTTCATAATGTTTAACATATAAGATTTATACCCTAAAACAAATCAAAACCCAAACTATCTTACCTGAAACAGAGCAAACAGCAATAATTATACAATTATAGTAGTCGCAGAAACACACATAAAAGAAAGCACGAAAGTTGAAATTAAAGAGAAAGATTCTGAAGTAATGTGGAAAGACAGAGACACTAAATCTAGAGGTGGAGTAGCTTCTTACATCAGAAAAGATCTTGCAGGAAAAAGCAACACTGTAATAGAATATTCGAATAACACTGTGGAAGTTCTAGGAGAATTGACCAAGGACAAACAAGAACAATATGTTATACAAAGAACACCTCATTCATTAAAGTTTCTTTTACTGAAGCATTATATCAAAACTCCAAAGATCCCTGGTATTACAATAATGTACAACTTTATTTTTTTCTTTCATTGACTGGGAAGCAAAGAAAATTAAATTTGGAGCAAATGCAGCCAGAGATGAGAAAGAACAAAGCACAAAATGAGAGTGACACCTACCCTTAATCTTCCAAGAGGAGGTAAACAACATCTCATTAATTATAATTACAATTCAATTAGACCAAATGACTGAAGTTACATTATAAGGTAAGAAAACATCTATGCATGGAAAATCAAGTAGGTAACTGTCTAAAATCACTGAACTTCAGCCCCAAACAAATAAACTTACAAATGGCAAATAAATCAGTAGAAGAAGCACTAACAGATATTGAAACTAAACAAACACATGATGATATTCCAGAGAAGTTCTGAGATAAGAACAAAGTAGGAAAACTAAATAAGACAACTAATCAAGAAATATAAAATAGGATTATGTCAGAGATAAAGGAAATAGAAGGTTGAATAAGAGTATACATTATCATGAAAATACTGAAGGAAAAAGGGCAGTTGAAAGGTATTAAAAGGTATTCCTAATAATGAACATTATGATTATCATAATGTTATCAAAAACATTAATAGCATTCAAAAATAAAAAAGTATAAGTAATAAGTTCATTACAATTAAATAACTCAAAATTCAACTTTGTTGCTCCCAAAATGTTAAAACTCATATAACAGATAGACCAATCCTTTTTTATGCATATATGACATATACAACTCAATATAACTTCTCTTACCTAAGCTGCAAATAGACTGTGGAGCAGCTGACAGATCTAGAGTTGCCCGTTCTCCTGGCTGCACTCTGGCTGCTGACCATACAAGATTCACATCATTATCCAAACATTTTTCTATGTCAAAGATCTGAGTGTCTGAAACAACTTCACCATCTGGACGTGTGTACCACACAACAACCTGGAAATAAGGGTTTGGTCTTATTTGATCTGAACATGCAACACAATTTTATCACACAAAACAATAATATAGACTTTGATACCTGTAGAACATTAAATAAAAAGAAAGTTTCAGACTAGATAATATATGAAGATAATATTCAGAAAGACAAATTATTGTCAAGTAAGAAATTAATATATCAATACATAATATAAATTCAATTAGGCAATATAACAAAAAATTACAAAAAATTACTAACATTATTCAATCTTTGTTACAGACCATTTCATAGCTTGTGGCAACAAATATGTTGTTCTGAGTGGGACAAGCATGTGATTCTAGAAGGTTGCATTTAGTTATGTAATTTAAAGAGATATTTAAAGTATTTAGATAATTAATAAATTTATAACATAGTACTCTAAGCTATGGAACATATTCTGCATTCATCAAGATTAAACCAAATGGTTTGTATCAGTATGAAAAGAAGTTTAGACACACTAGTAAATTACTTTAATAAAGTAATGTCAAACCCTAACCAACTAAATTTCTTTCTTTAATACTTAAAAAATACTCTATAACAGTTCATAATGATAAAACCAACAGTTTTAAAGCTTTACTCAGAAGTTTAATAAGTTTAGATTATATTAAATACCAAAACAAAATCTAAATTCAAATATGTTTTATGACAATTATCTAAACCATGTGATTCTTTTCTCTTAAAATATCCCCATAATGTAACTAAGATCAAACTTTAACATTAAAAGTTACAATCTCCTAGCAATGAACCAAAGAGAACTGCTTTCTGTTTGTTCCACTTGTAACATGGTGTCCTGAACTTGGATTTTTTTCTTATAAGATTTGTACATAAATATCTATCAAAAATAAAAATAAAAATAGGAAGCTATTTCCAACGAGATAATAAAGAACAATATAAAAAAAGGTCATATTGTTAAAAAGGATCCAATCACAATGAATATACATTAATTGCTAAAAGACTGTAACATAGATGAAAAAAAAATGGAAGAAATATACACATCTATCTATAAAATGATTGTTATTCACATGTAACATTCATCTCCAACTCTTATAACTATCATTACATACAAACCTTAGCCGAAGGTGAGGCTGTGTGAGGTAACTTTATTGGAATATTCACAACTCCTCTAACTGTATGTTCTGGGGGAGGTGGCAAGGGTTCTACTAGATGCTCTTCATTAATTGGTAAGTTAGCAGATGACAATTCATACTCCGCTGAACTCGAGTACTGGATCTGACCTCGTGATACAACCTACCGAATACCAGTGGAGGCTTATTTAATTTATATCAATCATTTGTCTTTTTGCAGATCATTGGTAATTGTAGGTATTACCTGGATGTAATTTTTAACATCAATTCATATCATACAAAATATATTTGTCAAAATGTAACATACAAGAAAACAAAATACCTGAACAGTAAATGTAGCCCTCGTCTGATTCACAGCAGCAAAAAGGACTGGTATATCATGATCATGACCAGATACTTTACATGACAGACGATTTCCAGGAACGCGGATCAGCAAAGATGAATTTGAAGGAGAATAATATTTTTTCAAGCGATGATGATATTCTGATCCATACATTATTGAACGCCACATTGATGATGCATCTTTGACCCTTGGATAATTGACGGATTTTATCTGGAATGTAATCAATTACATTTATGATATTTGGTTTTTCTTTGAACATTATACTTATGATGTTATTTTATGTCAATTAAAAAGTTTCTGAAAATGTACTTTACCTACATTTTAAACTTGATTCTTTAATATCAATCTTTTATTAAAAGCCAAGTGCCTTTCCAGATGTATTAGATATTTGACATTATGAAATTTTATGTCGGGATGGCATGACATGCATGCCAAGTCCACTGCAATTTTAGTTTATTAACTGTGTCAGCAAGGAGTCAATTACTGGTCATAGCTACATCACCTATTTACTCCTTTCCTTGACTTTTGGAAAATTTATATATCATGATAATCATAATGTCAATGTTAATTTTAATAGGAACAATATTAACCCATTGGTTATGCTATTATGTAAAATGACGCGTAGTCCCATAGCGTTATCTATTTTACACTCAGGCGGTGTGGGAGACTGTGCAGGAGAGTGCTCTCTATGCTTTCCCTCCTTGGCACATATATATTTGTGTATGTATATATAAGGACATATATGTTTGTGTATGTATATATAAACCCTTGCAGATATATGCAAGCACACAATCATACGTAAATGCTCTCAGATAGAGTGGAGGGCCTGGCCGTAGCAAGAGCCGAAAGCATGCAACCCCTTTCACAGGTAACATCCCCTCGCCCATGCAGGCCCAGGGCAATAGACCTTGGCCCTCGCAGGCCGCAGAGGGGCCATCCCCTTGGCAGCTATCATTCCTTCACCCGTGCAGCTCCCCGGCTGCATGGCCGAGTGGCCGCCCACTGCTCCATGGGATCAACTCTCTATGGCACTTTGCATCAAATCATGTTATCCACAACCAATGGGTTAGAGCAACAAAAAAAGGAAAAAAATTTAAAGAATCTACTTAGGAAGGTATTTCATTGACCTACATCTTAAAACTAAAGTCAATGTAATGTAGATCATAGATCTACATAAAAAAGCAAATTCAGTAACTAGTAGCTACTTAACCAACTGTTGCTGAGGAAAATGCAGTGTTCACTGTAGTACTGTTTTGTGAAGTGCTTAGCCACAAAGGAGTGTTAGTTTGTTATCAATGCAATCAATATCATTGCTGTTGCTATTATCATAAACTTTATAAGATAACACCCCAGTCATGGTCCAGATCACAAAACAGAAAACTAGATAAATGTCTCACGAGAATCCTGATAAAATAGACAAGACTAAGAAAAACCTACATAGACATAGAAACAGACCCAAGCTGCAGATGGTGCCAACATCCAGAAGAAACAATAGAACATCTAACAATAGATTTCACGGATAAAACCGAACCAATAAAAGAGGATAAAAATAACTAATCCAAATATCTCTTTACTTATAATATGAGACAATTATCCACTAATTAAGAAGTACTACATTCTAAGACATGAAGATCTTACAAAGATCAAGAATAATAAGTATCATATGAAACAGGGATTAAATCAATCAATAATACAAGAAAACTTTCAGACAAGTGAAAGAAGACTCCAGGAAACAAGATCCAGGGAATATAGACATAAAAAGTCTAAAACCCTATAAAAGAAGAAAGGAGACATTACTAACACCAATATAAGATACAAGAAAATATTTCCAAAAATAAAGGAAAAGGGTAAACAGATGAGAGGGGAAGTACTCCTAATTGTCTCATTGATGACTTAGTACTTGTAGAGCCATCTATGTGTAAAGACAATTAATAAGCTAAACTCGCAGTGGGCATGGCATATACATACATGCCATCCCTAGTGGCATCAGGTTAGGACCAATCACAAATTACATAAATAAAACACTATTTCCTTACCACGACAGTGTCACTTGAATATTTTGGGATAACAAATTCCAAAATGCCTCCAGCTGAAGTACTAATGTTTCTGCAGTCTCCACTAATACACACAGTCATGGGTTCATTTGCAGCTGGCGTTTTATCAGGGAACACAGTTTTTACCTAGAAATGATACTATAGATATTCAAGAACCATGTCACATTCTGCTAATGGACTTGTAATATGCAAGAAGAGATAAAATAAGAGATAAATTGTTAAAAATAAAATTGAAAACTGGAAAAAATATGAAGACTAAAACGAACAAAACTTGTGTATAACATTCACTATAAAACATTCGCTATAAAGTTTTTAAAAATTGCAAAAAATCTCATGAAAGTGGATAAGTATGAATGATTCATAACCAACAGTTCAGCTTACCTTTCCAGTGAAAGGAAGATTTGGTTTACTGTACTCTTCTTTGCCAATATATGAAAATTCCAGAGCTGTGCGTTGAATAGCAGCTACTGCTTCACCTTTGAATTCTTCACCTGTTCCATCTTCAGTTACAGTTGCTGTTAGACTTAATCTGTATACATAAAATTCACTATCCATAATATCATCAGCCAGCACTTTAATTTCCTTGCAGCCTGATATCTGGATGTGAAAAACAACCATTAATCCAGTGTTCAGATATTAAGTAAGACATACATATGCCAAAAGGATTAATCATTATGTTTTTTTAACATTTTGTCTACAGTATGTTCTCTTTTTATTAACTTTATGCATTAACTCATTTTTCAACCTACCTTGTCATTAACAGTATGCTTTTTCTTACTACTTCCCCATCCACCATTGTCTACTACCAATGTCACATTGCCTTTGACTGGCTGTCCAAAAGTGTATCTGTAATAAATTTACTCATCAAGTTATATATTCTATTCTAAATTAAAACCATGTGCTTTCATAAGACTGTGCATTTCAATATCTAATCTCAATACTATATACTCTTGATGCACCTCATTATCATCTATCATACTTACTTGGCACATACAGTGAAAGTAAATTCAGTGTCTGTACCCAGTATATATTTGGGTGGCACCACAGTGACTTCAAAACGTGGAAGGACATATTCTTCCACCTTGAATTCCTTAGCTGTTGATGAACTGCCATATGCTGACTGAACCTTAATCTTGTATGTCCCCTGAAATACAGCACACAATTTCAAACTCTTTCACAGACTTAACATGTAATCACTTAGAATTATTAGTTGTGAATAACATTATAATATAATGTTATATAATATAATAGCAACATCAATACTGATAGCATTAGATACTTTTTTCCTCCAAACCCAAGAAGAGAAACACTCGAGAAGTAAAAAAAAAAAAAAATAACAAAACACAATGATTGACAGTATGATAGTTATTCTTAAACCAACACAGTGTGAACACATAAAACTGCTTGAAATTGAGTAAAGTGGAGTGCTCCTATGGTACAATATAACCAGTTAAAATTTAAGTTGGGATACAATAACAATGTAATAGAAGTGATCAGAATGAATAAAACTAACAGTGATAAAGAAAATGCAAAAAAATGGATATCAACAAAATCCCCTAGGATAACCTTTAAAGGAGCATTACCAGAAAGAGTTACCATAAAACACACATCCTACAAAGTACACCAATATACCTTCCCAATCCTAAGACATTTCAGAAGCCTTAGGTATGGTCATGGAATTATGACATGCAAAAATAAAATGTGTAGCAAATGTATTTAATTCAATTATGATTATAAACATTATCCAAATAATCCCTTTTGTTCAATCACATATGCTTGGAAAATACACAAAATAACACAACAGATAAATACACAGAACACAACGCCCAACAACCTGGACATAAAAAACTGTTTCATGATTTGAAATCCCTCTCCATAAATAACCATAACAATTCCAAAGAAAACTACATGATAATGCCGAATACTAAACCACAAAATAACATGCATAAAAAATGAAAATGTAAAGAAACTTACACACACTCAAACAACAGAAATCACCACAATTCAGACTTCTGCCTAAAAGCCCTTTCACATCATGGTGGAATCTCACATGTAGCATGGCCCATGGCACGCCACTTGTAAATGAACATTTGGGAACATATGGAACCATTCACACAGACGTGCCGTAGCACATAGCCTTTTTTTAGCGTGTGACCTGCCACCTCAGACAGTGTTGTCAGATTTTGATGGAAACTTTCAAAGGTATGGCATACAGAGTAGTTTTGAAGTGTCTAGAAAGATTCTGTTAAACACATTTGACAACATGATTTCGCTCACCGAGTGAGTGAGGCTTCAAATGAGAGGGTATTCATGTGTAGTCTTGCAGGAGGAAACAGTGCAATGTGTGCCATTTCTCATGCACAGCCATGTCTCTTCCAGACAAAGAACCAATAACATTTATACAAACTGTAGGAAATACAACATCACCTCAGTACAATAAAAATACTCTCAGTGAAACAGTTATCTTTTTTTTTTCTCACAAGCACTTTCAGGTTATTGGAACAAGTTTGCCTCACATAATTCCTAAAGTCATCCACTTTGTCTCTCCAAGTGACAGATAGATAATGTTGTGTGATTACTTGGACTTAATATAACAATAACATCATCAACTCCAATGATGCCATCTTGAGAAACCGTGGTGCCACGTTATTTGCTACTTACCACTTGCTGTTTGCCACGAGCAATGTGTAACCTTGGTGTGAGAGCAGCCTAAACCCTATACCAACCCCAGAGTCTAACTTCAGGGCAGAAAACCACAACATAATAAAAACTCAAACTCTAGAAAATAAAACAAAAAGAAATAATCATCACTCAAAAAAATAAAACCAACAAAAAGAAAGAAATCATAATGTTTCCTGATGAAAACAATAAACATACAAATATAGAATATTCTCCAGTAGCTTGGACACTCCCAACCCCACTTAGAGACAAAGAAACAAAAAGAAATTCAGACTAGAAATAAAGAAGACTTCTCTTGGATAGAATTATCAAGGAATACATTTACAACAATAACAAGTATAATAAACAATACAAATTCTGATAAAACAACTTTAGAAAAAAATACTGAAGCAATAAAGGAAAAAAAACAACATTTAAAAGAATCATGACATTCCTTAATGAATAATATCACATTATGAAATGCCAGATCAAATCTAAATTAAAGCTTTGAATTAAATCATTTGATAAGTAAAGAACAACCAGATGTACTAGAATTATGTGGAACTTGGTTGAAAAATAAAGATACTTTCGACTTGCCAGGCCATAAATTGGAGGAGGACTATCTTTCTGCATAAAAAATTATTTACAAAAAATATATATAAATCTAAGAGATAGATTAAAGAATAAAATTGAAGTAATAGGAATAAAGATGTCACAAAAACAACTGGATGAATATTATAGTAAACAATCTATTCAATAACCTAAACCAAAATGAAAAGGAATAGTACATAGAACAAATAAATGACCTAAAATTAATAATTAGATTTTAATGCACACAACAAAAACACTTTAGTTTATCTAAAGTAAAAATAGAAAATAACATGTTATCAACTCCCCCAATCAGACCATAAGAATAAATCCCATGAATGAAAGTCCCCGCAATTAAAAGATAAAATAGTAATGAAAAATATCAGAGAATATAACCACAACAAAGATAAAAGTTCCTGTACTCATAAGGTCAGTGAAACTAAAAATAAACAGAAATACAACAAAGAGTGAACTTCAAAACCAGCATAGTATGACTTTTCCTACAAATCTGTAGCTTATGGTAAATTTCACAAAAGACCTCCCTCAAAAAATAATTAAAATGCCATATCAAATGCTAATAAATACAAATATGAAAAATACTATAAGATATCCGCAAATGGCTCAAAAATGGAAGAGCCTCAATCAACATCAGCTGTCATCTATATAGAACAAAAGAATCTCACAACAGTCTGGAAATTACAAAAAAATGCAAAATTTATAGAAGTAAAATTGTATGCAATAAAACAAGGGTTGAAATATATAGAACTTAATAAACTAATAAACACAGCAATTTTTACAGATTCACTCCCATCAATCTTAATACTGCAAAATCGCAAACTATAAAAACACAAACAAATTACTTACAAAAAACAAAAACAAACTTACACTTTCATAAAACAAAAACAAAATGTCACAATATAATGGGTCCCAGCATATAAATGTATATTGGTAAATGAAACAGCAAACCTTGCAGCAAAGAATGCCCATAAATTAAACCATTCCAAAGGCAAAGACATAAAAGAAAAAAAGAAAAAGGCAATGCGAAAAACAGTTAAACAAAACTCTTATCACAAAAAACTACCACCTCAAAGACAACACTCCACAGATAATGGTCTGCATCAGAAAACAAAAAACTATATGTTTGCCTTACAAAAATACTGAAAAAACACACAAGACTAAGAAAACACAAACTAAAACTAGAAACAGACCCAATCTAAAGATGGTGAAAACATCCAGAAGAAACAGTTGACCACATTTGATACTACAATGCCCAAGATTTCACCCAGATAAGAGGGACTAAAAAAAATTAAAATAATTAATCCAAAGATTTCTTTACATATAAACGGGAAAAATCATCCTCCAGCTAAGAAGTACTACATTCTAAGGCATATTAAGATGTTACAAAGATCAAGAATAATAAATATCTAATGAATCATGATCAAATTAATGAATAACTCAAGAAAACCTTCAAACAACAGAAAGAGTACCCCAAGAAACAAGATCCAGGGAATAAAGACATAGAAAGTCTAAAACCCTATAAAAGAAGATGACAGTGTGATTTCCCGGCAGAAAAAAAAACTTGAAATGTTCATTTTCAGGACGTAACAATCAGCAAAGATGTCTTTTTATACACTACCTCTTCAGGTTCATCTGCAAGTTTGAATGTCTGATGGATAAGCCCAACTGAATTCTCCACGTTGGTCCACTGGGCAATGCGGCTTGAAGATGGTGTCTCTACCCATATCAAAGGATACTACAAGAAAAAAATATTGCTCATTGTTAACTTGTCCTTCATTTTTTTCTTGTACCTAGCTGTGAAACTTTTCAGTAACACAAACAGATTATCAATTCTTAACATGGCTTACTTCTATTATCAAAATAAGCATATATCTTGTCAACTACTATTTGAAATATCTGAAAATCATGATAATTTGTACAAGTATGCAAAAATGTGACTTACACTTTCTTTCAATATTTTTAAGAAGGGACCTGTCACTGTGAGAATCCTGAACTGCACAGTTTGACCAGGTTTATAAATGTATTTATCAGTCTGTATAAAAGTCTTCCTGATGCCAGTAGCAAATAATATGGGCTTCTTATAATCAACTGTCTGGCCACCAAGTGTTCCAGTGACCATCAGCTGTCCCTTTTTATGCAAAGTTGGCACAAAAAGTCTGTCACACATTTCCTTTTTACCTGCAAGCAGAAGATAAATAAATCAGTTAATCAGTTTGTTGCATGAGATTTCATTTTAAATGAAAGAGAGAAATTAATAAAAGCATTATTCATGAAGAAGAAGCAGGAGCAGGAAAACATGATAGAAAAGAGAAAGAGAATAGGAAGAAAGAGGATAAAACCAAGAATGAGGAGAAGCAGGAGAAGGAGGAGCAGAAAGAGAAGGAGGAGAAAGAGAAGGAAAAGGAGGAATAAGAAGAAGAGGAAAAGAAGAAAAAGAGGAGGAGGAGGAGAAGGAGAAGGAGGAGGAGGAGGAGGAGGGAAGAAGAAGATAGGAGGAAGAAGAAGAAGAAGAAGAAGAAGAAGAAGAAGAGGAGAGGAAGAAGAAGAGAGGAGGAGGAAGAAGAAGAAGAGGAGGAGGAAGAAGACGAAGGAGGACGAAGAAGAAGAAGAAGAGAAAGAAGAAGAAGAAGAAGAAGGAGGAGGAGGAAGAAGAAGAGGAGCAGGAAGAAGAAGAAGAGGAAGAGGAAGAAAATGAAGAGGAGGAGGCAGAGGAAGAAGATGAGGAGGAGGAGGAAGAAGAAGAAGAAGAAGAAGAAGAAGAAAAGAAGAAGAAGAAGAAGAAGAAGAAGAAGAAGAAGAAGAAGAAGAAGAAGAAGAGAGAGAGAAATGAAGAAGAAGAAGAAGAAGAAGAAGAAGAAGAAGAAGAAGAAGAAGAAGAAGAAGAAGAAGAAGAAGAAGAAGAAGAAGAAGAAGAAGAAGAAGAAGAAGAAGAAGAAGAAGAAAAGAAGAAGGAGGAGGAGGAGGAGGAAGAAGAAGACAAAGGAGGAGGAAAAAAGAAGAAGAAAAAGAGGAGGAGGAAAGAAGAAGAAGAGGAGGAAGAAGAAGAAGAGAGGAGGAGGAAAAAGAAGAAGAGGAGGAGTAAAAAGAAGAAGAAGAAGAAGAAGAAGTGGAGGAAAAAGAAGAAGAAGAGGAGGAGAAAAAAGAAAAAGAAGAAGAGGAGGAGAAAAAGAGAAGAGGAGGAGAAGAAGAAGAAGAGGAGGAGAAGAAGAAGAAGAGGAGGAGGAAGAAGAAGAAGGAGGAAGAAGAAGGAGAAGAAGGAGAAAAAAGAAGTAGAAGAAGGAGGAAGAAAACTAAGAAAAAGAAGAAGAAGAAGAAAAAGAAGAAGACGAAGAAGAAGAAGTGAAGAGAGGAAGGGAGAGGAAGGGAGAGGAAGGGAGAGAG